GGGCCCATCCCTCCTGGACAGCCCTGGCTCTTCCCCTGCCTCCTTCTCCCGAGACCCAGCCCCGGCAGGGCCAAACCGCGGGGGCCCCAGCTGCAGCCCCCGCTGCGCTCCCAGGCGTGGGGGGACAGCGCAGGCCGGAGGGGTCAGCCTTGCCCCCGGGGCAGGTCCTCTCTCGGAGGGGTACACGGTCCCGGCCCCCTGCACAACAGCAGACCAGAGGCAAATCACCACAACGATGTTGCTGACCGCATTTTTCAGACAATAAATCCCACTGATGTAATGCAACTCTGACCGAGCACTACGGTCACTAGAGCCAGGACTAAGCCAAAACCACCGCCAAGGCAGAGACGCCCGCAGCGCCCTGGCTCAGAGGGTGCAGAGATGGTGCATTTCCTCGCTGATGGGTTCAGGAATGAGCTCCAAACCCCAAATAGTCTGAGAAAATGGAGTCAAAGGGGCTGGTTATGGCATGGTTGAAATCAGCCCGTTCTTCCGTACTGAGGGAACCAGGCTGCGCATGTTTGGGAAATGGGTGTCCTCTAGTGGATTCAGCACTGCTGAATATAACTTGCAGTATTCTTACAAGTTGCAGCGTATAACCTTTCTACATTTGCAGATATTCTGGTTTCCCAGGGAACATGCAGACTGTCGGTACAATTAACATGACCTCTGACAAGAGACTCCATTACCTATGAGGCATCTGGAAATAATCCCTCTGGTTGAAAATGAGCCCTTTGCTCTCAGATGCATCTGCCACCTCTGGTCTGACTCACCTCAGCAAACCATCGGCTGGGAGACAGATCGAGTGGTCTCTAAAGCATCTCCCTTGGACTAAATGAAATGATGCATTCTCCACTGCACAGAGACTGCAATGCCCTCAGCATACCAAAGCACACACGTGCATGTCATGCTACACAACGCCGAACAGGAGCTCACATCTCGTACTGCACCGGGAACACTTTAACGGCCTGAATTAAAAATTACGGCCACAAGGGTGGAAACACAGGGGCTGGGCAGCTGCGCTTCCCAGGAGGGATCTGCCACTGCTCCGGCTCGAGCCAACTCTTGCCACTCCAAAAAGCCAAGCAGAGAGCAGGACCATGTCAGCGCTGCCTTCTGCTTCACCTCTGCGAACTGGTGCAGCTTAAGGCAGGACAAGATTTTGATTCTCAGCTTCTGTGTCACTCCCTCCTCTGGGCTTTCTTGGGGGCTCTGGGGCTGGGGAGCAGTTCTGTCTGCAGATGTTTCACCAACACCAGCTGATCTCTGATGCTCACCAACCAAGATGCCTAAATCAGCAGCCGGGGAGAGGCGAAGTTCCTCGCCCCTCTGCAGCGTGGGAAGCATCCAGCACAGCGGGGAGCTGGGGAGCTGCGGAGCTGCAACCGGGAGGGAACGGCAGCCACTTCTGAACTGGCTGGGAAGGGCTCTCTGCCTTCATTCACCTTCCTGCAAAGGCAACGACTAACGAAGACACTTCAGCATAAAATTAGTAACAAGATGTAGCACACTTATTTTTAACAAAGTGACCTTCATCAAGCTTGGAGCTCTTTTTGCTTAATTTTTTCCAAAATGAAAGCCCAGTCAATCATGAAATGCTAGGAGAAGATGTTAACTCTTTATTAATGAATTGCTTTAGAAAGGCTTAGGGAGGCAGGATTAATGGATTTGATGGTCAGAAAGGACCGCTGTAATCTTCTAGTCTGACCTGCTGCTGAGCACAGGTCTGGACTTCCTGCAGCCCACCGGCCGAGGCAGTGGCAAAAGGGCTTATCTCTTAATCCACACCATGGAGAGCCTCCGAAAAGTCACTACGTTCTGGTCCGACGGTCAGCCTCACTGTGAACACCACGCGCTCTTTTTACGTTTAACAAAACGTTTCCAGTTTTGCTATGACTGACTTCCACTTACAGCCCCTGGCTGTGTCAGCTGAAGTTCTTTAAATAGTATTCTTTAAATATTGTGTTTCAAAGTATTAATGACTCTCTTACTCATGACTGCTTTGTTTTACAGTATAAAAGTAATAATGGGCTTGATTCTGAACTTAGTTACTCCCAAAACCACATGGAATAAATTAATTCCTGTAATGGTTTCAATTTTACATTTGCGTAACAGAAACCAAACCCTTCTCCACAAAGGTACAAACCAAGCAAATCCACGGGAGAGCAAGTCAGCCGTCCACGCTCCTCTTGGCCGCCTGCTATATTGTGTAGACACTCTGAGCAGCTCAGTATGGAATGGTAAAAAAGAAAGAGAGTCAGCCGTAAAGTGCTAGTTTTTTTGAGGAACAAATGAAAAGTTCGATTACCAAAGCATGTCATATGTCTGAGCCCAGCTCTGCGCACTGCTTGTCTGATATGTGGTTAGCTAACGACTCTATGATGTCAAGAAGGAGTAGCTGACTTAGGGAGCGGAGATTTGGCAACTTGGAGACCTTCAAGGAAAAGAAAAACAGAACAGAAAAAACAGAAAGAAATTAAAACCCTCCCCAAATCATAGCTGATGTATCACCACCCTTTTACCCCTGCCACCCCACGTGAAACAGGCAGGTCGGGCAAGCCAAAGGCTGGGCACGTACAGCATGAAATCGCAGTCGTGGAGCTGGGCTGCAGAGGACAGCCCACAGGGGCTCCAGTCACGACCTCCTGCGCTTACAACCCGATTTCGGACTGCTGCATGGAGGGGAGGGGAATGGGGAGCAGCAGAAATGCTGACCCCAGCACTGCCTCTCTCAGAAAGGAGTGTAATTACTGGTTATATTGACAACTCTCCTGCTAATGCATGCCAACTAAGCACGCTCCTAAAAGCAAAGTTGGGCACCAGCACAGCCCTGAACTTTGAAGTCTGTGTGCTTCTGCTGAGAACGTGTCTTAGGACCTGACCTCTTCGCTCCTGTGTGCTCCTAAGGAGAGCTCGTGCTTAGCGCCCGTGCTGGTTTTGCTGGCATGCCTCCCGCAGCCCAAGCAGGTCAGTGGAGCACTAGCCAACAAAACCTCCGCCACATCACATATATGAGAATCTACAACAAACTCTGTGCTTTTAGGCTGTTCAGAAGCTCAACTGTTATCAAAAAGGAGCTCTACGCATTCCTTCCTTCTCCCCAACCTCACAGTAAGGAGCCAGTAATCCCTCTTTCTAGAGTTATTAACATACATGTCCAGCCTTGAAGGCAGACTCTGCCTAAAAGCCTGTCCACTCACCCAACCTGTATTAACTGATCTAATAAAAGATACCACCTCACTCTAAGACGCTCGACTGTGATAAAGAATAAAGATGTCCCAAGCATCTTTTGAAACCCAGGAGGAAAACAGCTGAGTATGTTTTCAGAAAGAGCTCGGTGCATGTGCTTGAAGTAATATTCCCAAAATAAGGGTCCGCGAGGACTGGGAGGGAGAGAGACCCCCTTAACACTGGTGGGAATCCTGCCCCTGCACCGAGGCACGCACTGCGGAGGAACAGATCAGGGTGTCAGTACAAACACTTCAGAACAGCAGTTTTATTAGGGCTTTTGCACAATACTGACACACAAGAGCCTAAAAATACGTTGCCCAAACCAGCAAACCTCTTGGAACAGCTCTTCAATTAGTGTTCTTACTGTGGGGAGAACTCCTTAACCGTCTGAACCGAGAACAGCGTTAATCAAGCTGGAAGAGCAGGAGATCGCAACAGCCACGCACCCGGCCTGCCTAAGCCTCGGTGACCCACTGGGCTTGCGCAGCCAGAACAAATCACCCTTCAGAGCCTGTGGCTTGCCAGGGAGAGAGCGGCAAGCATTTGTGCCCAGCCACACATAGAGTCACGCAGCACCAGGCCAAAAATCACACACTGAAGCCTCTCAGGCCAAAGAAAAACATTGCATAATTAAGATTTCTTCGTGCACATCTGCTTGACAGTCTTCCAGCCACATTTTGATGAAAACTGTTCTAACAGTCAACAGTTTAAATATAAAACATTTCCACATATTCTGGTTAGCGGAGTACAATTGAGTAATGCCCTTCAGCTCAAATCTCTTTCTCTGAAATGTCGCAATGTTCATTTCCCCCCAGTACATTCTGGTGAGAATCGCGCCAACCTGTTTGTCTTCCCGTGGGCTCCCCTGGGAAGTTGAGACCGTGAGATTTCAGCTCTCTGGGACTGCAACGCATGGACCCCAAACCCCAGGAGATGTCCCAGCCCCCAGGCTATCCTGTAACCCACGGCCGGACCATTCTCCGTCCCCGGCTGAAGGTGGGCCGCTCTGCAGGATTCACGAGGCCAGAAGAAAATGCTTTAACATGGCTGTCACCTCATGCTGGGGACTCTCCACTGAGAGTGTGACTCCTGGAGGCTGGCTCCGCTCTCAAAGCTTTGCATGCATTTTCAGTTATTTCTGAATGTAAAATGCATTACACTTGGGCAACTTAGGCACTTAATAAAGAGCCTGAACACCTCCCTCTGTCTCATCTCTAGATACAAACTGGACTGAGCGGTGCTTTCCTTCCCCATGGGCAGCAGCGGGAGGATCGTGAGATTAAATATACAGAAGACAGAGAGCTACTTGAATAGTAACTAGGGTATTATTATCAGTAAGTGTGTAGCATCCAGAAATCCCAATTCCTATGATTTATCTATCAATTTCAACAATGCTAACAGTTGTGCAACAAACTGGTGACACGCTGGGAAACTCTCGTGGAGGGATCGCATCTCATAGGAACAACTAAATGACAATACCCTTCTTCTCTCGAGTGAGGACAGGAATATCAGCACATCAGGCTCTTGACCTTTCCTATCACTAATGCATCATCCCACGTATCAAACATTGGAAGTACAGAAAGCCCAGCCAGGACATGGTAAATTGCCTTTTGAGCACATGACAATATAACATCTATGACAGAGAATACTTCAAGAGAAATATGAACTGCACACTTGTAACCGCTAGTGAAAGAGAGATTTGTGCCCTCAATACATAACAAACTTATCTTGCTATACATGTGAGAACCCAACAATGGCATGGCACAAAATTAACAGCTGGAACAAGTGGAAATAGAAGCAAATCTCTGTAACTTCTGTTTTGGAAGGTCTTCCCATTTCCAGACCAGGCTGTTCTAGTCTTTCCTTTATTTTTAGTGTGAAAAGTATGCCTCGCAGACTTGTCAGTGAGTGTCAGTGACACGCAGCCAGCTCTCAACTGTCTCACATGAGAAAGAATGAAATGGATTCCTATATTAATGTGTCTTTAACCAACGCAGTGACACAGGACAGCAGCTCTCAAAAGCCCCAGAAAAGATGCAACCAACCTTGGTGAACTGGTGAACGATGATGTGCAGGCAGTGCCTCTTCATGTCCAGGGCCTGGGTCTTGTCAGCTGCCTCTAAAATCTAGAGCAAAAGCAACGATGTGAGTTTCTTTCTGCATGGCTCAGATGTACAGGGCACAAACACTGTTCTGACTCAGAGGAGGTAATTCCTCTGAGCTAGGGAAACATCTCCATTTTTCATTACAAACCTGAATCTCTTCTGAACTATTCAAAAATAAGCCTTGGATTTAAAACATGTGGAGTCCGCAGGAGATAATCAGTAGGAAACTGCAGATCTGTTTCAGGGCCAGGTTCCCTGAAGTGCCCCAGTGAGACTGGCACAGGCAAGAGCCAAAAGCAGTTAACGCTGGAATTGATTCCGCTCGTGTTGCAGTGGGTTTGGTCTGCTTACCTATAGATGGCTTTGTAGGCTTTCTTATCACAGAATGTTTTTTGTTAGCTTAAACTTCATTGCCAGATCCTGTCAGTGTTACTGATAAAACAAGACTAATGTCACCTGCACATCACTGCTTGCCCTGGTACAAATGTCTACCAAAAAAGCGCTTGGAGTTGAGTGCTGAGCACGTGGTACATCTTAAAAAGCCCTTCAGAAACACTGGTCTACAATGGGGGACGAGGAGCTCAAGAGGAACATCCTGTTGGCCAGTTGAGCTATATCTGCTAAACACTTCAGCACAGGAGCGCTAGTGACACAAAAAGCAGATAAGGAAACAAAGCCGCTGAAGGCTGCGCTCCTGCATACGTGTTAATCACTCAGGGCCCTGTCATTGGAAGGGTTTGCGCAGTCTCAGCGGATGTTGGTTTGGAAGTGACTCAGTGAACGTGGCACTGGGGGTACCCACTTGACTCGACCCTTTGGTCTAGTCAAGCGACTGACTAAAGCTGCTTGGGGACAGTTACCTGGAGTACGTTCTCCACTGTGACATTCATTTCTAGGTTCTGCTTACAATAGGCTTGCAGTCTGTTGTTGGAGAAGCCGTAATAGTAAGGTGCAGCAAAGAGGTAGCTGTTAAATCTCATTAAGGAAAAAACTGTAAAGCAAAGGTAACAGCACTGATTGTAAATACAAATCAATGACAGAAGTTAAAATGCAGTGCCTGTTAATGCAACCCTGACAAATAATCCTCCCAGGTTGTGCCTGGCAATCTAGAGCAAAAGGAAGGTGAGCTGCTGCACATGCACTTTAGACAGATACTTCAGTTACTTTAGATTTAAGGATACAGGGAGTCTTCAGGAGGCATGTTAACTTCTCCATAATAAATGTATCTAAGCATAGATTCAAACGCTTGCTTGCTGGGAACCATTTCGCCTATAGAAATATTCACTTGCCCATCTTCTGGCATGAAGGAACGGAACATGGCTTCAAAGTAACTGGAAAAGGAAATACAACTGATGTAACACATTCTGCAGACAGATGGTTTAACCCAGTATTGTTCAAAGGCTGCTATTAAGCACTGCGGCTTCCAAAGAAGCAAATTCAGGTGACAACCTGGGCAAAACCACTGCTAAATTGTAGTTTCATATACGTCTGCCTGTGAGAGAACTCTAAATATAATCCCCCTAATTTCCATCAGCATTACCTGAAATTTGTCTCTGTTTCTTGAAAATTAGGACACATGGTGCTTTGATTTTTGTCTAATTTGCATAAGACCCAGTGGAGAGCTTAAAGCATTATGAATTTCCTTGGTATCTACAGGCTGCCAATCATGCAGGGCTGTTTTAAGAGCTGTGAAATGCTTCTGGTAAAATATGACAGTAACTAATACTGAATATTATTACTGGCACTGGAAAAAAAATTGTGACAGTATTTGAAATAGAAATTTTATGTGAACACAACGACTTGCAGAACATAAAGGTGCAGGTACACAGAACAGACAAGCGAGGAACAAACCCACTTCACCCACATACTGAGGAGGGAGAATAGCACCCATCTTCAGAAGGGTGAACTTGCCTCTGCAACAAAGTACGGGAACAATCTCGTCTCTGTTATGCACCACTTTCTGTTACGCTTATTCATACCCATTCTTAAATATCAGCAAGCGAGAGAGAGATTCAAGTTTCACATGATTCAAAATGGATGTTCACCATCAGAAGACTCTTTCTGACCTCAGTGGACATCTGTTGCTTTCCACTTCACTGAAACTGCCTTATGCTTTACACCTTTTTTCCCTTCCTGTGATTTTACAGATTCTTTGTCTTGCAGTGCAGCTTCTTACACATCCTCTAGAGAATCTCTACCGTTTAATTTTCTCCTCTCTCTCCCTGCTGGGTATCAAATTGAAAAAAATATTTAATCACTATTGCTTAAAGGCTTATTACACTCATTGAGCAAAGCTGTATCTTATACTTTATGCGGATACAAAGTTCTGCCCTGTCTTCTAACAAAACCAAGCTGACCCACAGATTGCACAGCACTGAATTTTACACATACAGTATTTGTTATAGTAAACAGCGACTCACCTGGAGCGGGCTGCTAGGATTGCTTTATGGGCTGGCCGTGGGTGGCCATCTAAGAGAAGGATGATATCACAGAATTCAGTCCCAGCTCCTTCTAGGTAAGCCTTCATGTCCTGAATTAGCGATGTTCCTGAAAGTTAACGTAATGAAATAGTTGAAGACATGACAGTTCCAGGTGACCAGCTACTATCAAACTAATACATGGCCAAGCCATAGCTCCAGCCCCTCTTTCCTTTGGGACCCCTGGGGTGAGTGGGAGGCAAGCCCTTCCTCATCATCTTGGAGCAAAATGAGCTTCTTGCTTCCCCATCGCAATCCGTTACCTACTGCCCATCCCAGAAACAAACCTGACAGCTCTGCTTTCAAACTGCTGACAGCAAACACTGGCAGTGGCGACACTGAAAGGTGTTCTCTATAGATAAAGAAATCTGACTTTTCCCCATCCTTTTCTTCTCATTATTTTCAACCACCAGAAATAGAAAATTTTGTCTCTTAATGGAAAAGCTTTCCCAAATCCTCAATAAAGGCTTCTTTTATCCAACATTTTAATTAACCTTTGAAAATACACAATAACTGAGAAACAGAGCACATTCAAGTCTGATCCAAATTCACTCATATTTTCAAAGTTCATCTTTCAATTTTTTGATGTTTGGGTCTCTCCCACCGTTCCAGCTCTGGATACAGAAGCTGGCTATGCCATCTTCCCGGACAGTGCACCTCTCTTCTCCCTGGGACAAATGCCAGCCAAAGGCTTTCTAGGACCTTCCAGGACTGGCTTCCCCATCTTTTTCTCCAGTCCCCAATTCTTTTTTGTGCAGTATTCCAAATCAATACTGGCAGTGCCTCGGAATTTTGTGGCCTCAGCAAATTTCATTATTACATTCCTTTTTCTGTTTGTGTTGGGATGATAAAGTCTTGAATAAGGCTAGTCCCAAATCAGTCCTTGATGAGTTCTGTAATAGGATTGTAAATCAAATCTTCTCCTTCCAGCACAATCACAGAATGAAAACTCAAGACATGACAATTAGTACAGGTTATTTATCTTCTCAAAGTCTTCTTCTCCCTATCTTCTCTTCTTTCTTCCATTAACTTTTCTTTGTCTTAGTTAATTTTTCCATGCTCTTCTCTCTCTCCCTCTCTCTCACACAATAAGGTCTACCTTGTCAGCACTGACAAGATTATTCACAAGATCTTCTCCCTTACTCCTGCTCCTTCTTCCATGAAAACCTATGAGCAGGCCAACCCTCCCACTCAGCTTTGTTACCTTCTAGTCCACTGAAGGCCCACTGCCTTTTCTTTGAATCATCCTTTATACCCTTCCTTCTGCCTCTTCTCTCCCTGAACACAATCAGGATATTTTATTGCAAGAAGAACAATGACTATATTTAACATGACCTTTCATGTATTTTGATGGCGATAATGTTCTGACTGAAGCTCATTGGAAAAAGAACTGGCGTGCCCCGTCTTAGTCTGGGAAACAGCCTAAGCACAGTTATACCAACTGGAGAATTGCTTGTCTGCAGTGGTCTACTTCCTATTCTGTTTCCTAGACCAAACAAACCATTAGCGATGCAAAACCAGCACAACTAATAACTTTATAAAGCATAAAGTTACCTATGTCAAGCGGCTGATCAGAATGTGTTCGAACAGGCGGCTGCTGTTTTCTCCGTACAATCTCCACAATGAGGGATGAGGACAGATGCTCAAATTCCTTCATCATTATTACCTGATTAAAATGTGATTCCTTCACCACGAAGTTCAGGCAATGTTCCTTAAAAAAACCCCAATATTAATAAAAAAAATTACAGTTTACTGTATTAAGTCATCCTACAGCATCACATAAATGTTACCATGTTGCAGGGTAAACAGCCACCCTTTTCTTACGACCCTCCACATGGATCCTGCAGCTGGAAGTATCAAACAATGATCTCCTTACTAAGTGACCATTTAGGCTCCTACTTGAACAGGAAATTCAGGACAATTCTAAGCATCTCGAAAAACCTGACTAAGAAATAATAACAAGGAAAAGATTAACTGTCTTCCATCTAGCTGCACTGAAGATTTCTAAAATAGGAATCTCAGGGGACACCGAAAACCTCATGGAACTAACTAAGATTGGTTGCTATCTCATAAAAGTTCTTTATACAATTAGATACCAAAAGTTAACTAGAAGGGGAAAGAGATCTTAACTCCTAACACTATATATTAAGGGTACATATAGTTTGCAGGATTTCTTTGTGTGGATTTTGCTTAACCTTTCCTGTAAAGGTTGCACAGAGCTCTTGCAGGTTCTTGTACAACAAACTTGCTAGAAAAATCAGCGTGGTGGAAAGGTGACAAATGAACCAGACCTAATATTAAACAGTTAAAGGGACAAAAAATGGCACTTCATTTGCCAGTGCGAACCAAGGCTTTCCCTCAGAACACTTTCATAAGCAAAAAATATAATCTATACCAGCTCACCATAAGGTGAGTACAAAATTCACCCAAAGAATAATACTGTCCTTTTTTCTGCCAAGTTATTTCACCTGGGATTCACAGAGATCTGTCCAGGACCCATCTGTAAAATGTTTTGAACACTGACTAGGATGCCAGAAATAGCAGCCTTCTGCAGATGGTACCTACCCACAAGGACTAATGCGCACTTGAGAAGACAGGATGCCAACTCAAGGTGGTCCCGACCAAATGGAGTTGTGTGGAAGAGCCCCCGTCACCCTGCTGGTAGCGAAGGCAGGTGGAGGTAGCTGGCTGATCTGAAATTACTGGCACTAGATCCACCAATGCTGAGATACTTGCTTGAGCTTCTGGCCAGCTAATGGCATCACGGTCCTATGCACCAACGACTGTGCCAGCATTTACGTACTTGCTGCTGACTCGGCTGCTGTCCTCCTGGATGCCTCTCCTTTCCCCAAATCCAGTGCATAAAGAGTGCCTAAGGTGTGCTGGTGCATACTGGTTTGTCTTGCCCCACTCTGCTTCCAACCGTCAGCTATATGGCCAACTGATGTGCACAGGCTACTCAAATAGGTATTGCATGATCTTGGACTCTTGGACTTGGGTGGAGGAGCTGCTTCTCTGCAGCTTTAAGCAGAATCGGCTCTGGCCACTGCTGGTGGGAACCAGACCATCACAGCAAATCACGGTCTGAAGCCTGGGGGTATCGACTCTGTCATGCCTTTCAGCAAATGCCTAAAAGCCTTTGTTCCACTACACAGAGACGAAGAATCGCAGACACATTTTGTTTTTCAGCAGAGTGTTTTTCAGATCAAAGGCATGAGAACAGAATTTAGTTTTTCATCAGACAAGGTGAAAGAACCTGTTTGCAGTCTCTGTATAAAACAGTGGGACCAGAAAATGCACGGGTTCCATCTTGCTGCAGTGAGAGTGAACTGAGGAAGAGCCAAAGTTACTCCGCCCTTTACATCCTACAGGGCAGATATGCAAAAATATCAAACACTTATTGAAAAAACCCTACATAATATTCACAAACAACTGCAGGACAATCCACTCTAACATAACTCAAGCAACTATAATTACAGGAAAGAACTGAATTTGCAAAAGCTGATAGCTTTTGCAAAGCATTAATTACATCGATTTTATTTTTTAAAATTTCTTATCAGTTACTTTGTATGCAAAATGTGATTACCTTTAGCTGATCCAGCTGAAGCTTGTTAGCATTTTCACACACAATGAGCACATTCTGCAGATCTACGGATGCTTCAATATATTGAAGGCAGAGCTGTTCCAGTCGAGAGAGCTTGAAGTTTAAGGCCAGTTTGTATACATCCATAATAAGTAGCACATCCTGCACGTGACCTGAAATTGTAAGAGATAAAAATGCTGGAGAGCTCACAGAATAAAGAGAGAAACTTTTCTCAAAGTATTGAGACTATTGAGCATTCGGAATGGTAGAATGGGCAGTGACTGGAGTATTTTTATGGAGAAAAAAAAATCCATTGCTGGTTAGACAAAATCTGAACTGATACTAGAAAAGGAGTTTCGAAACTGAGGCCTGAAAGAGCTACCCCAAAAGACTTTTTGGACAAAGATTTTGTGACAATCTGGATCACAACTTTTTAAAACCCTCAGAAAGTGAAGTCTCTAAAAACACTGACAAGTTCCGAAGCTAGCAGCCCGATTTTCCAAAGTGCTCGGCTGCTACCAGCTCTGCTGAAGTCCTTGGGTTTTATGCAGTGCTAGCAACCAGCTCCCTGATTTTGACAGACCTTTATGAAGGCACTCTGTGCTGGTGCGTGTACGGATCTGAGGCTGGTCTGGAAGAGAGGGCTGAAGTAAGAGGGGCAGTGGGGACTCTTGTAGGCCACTGCAGCGGGGCTCCTGGGACACCAACTCAAGGAATAATCCTCCACAGCCTTTGCTTTCCTCACAGGAGATCTCTGGCCATCTGCTGTAACTACTTTTTGATAGAGAAAAGCCTCCTTGCGTGTCACGTGCTTTCCCTGTGTCTAATTGGGAAAATCCCATTTGATAAGCATGCCCAGTTCTACTAGCTCAGCCTCTGGATGGATCCCCAGGGTGCTGCCCTCTGAACTGAGAGGAGCAACTAGGAATACAAATGGTCAGGACAGGGCCATTGGCGGATCCCAGCAGGCAGGTAAGCACCCGGGAGAACATTTGATGGGCTGGGGGAGAAGGGTAGCAGGCTGCCTGGAAAGCCTGTAACAAAGGGGAGAGTTCCGTGTGATAATCCCTTCTGTGGTCTGATCCTGTCCTGCAATGAGCATGCCGAGGATCAGTGAGCCTGCTGAGAGCAGGATCTGGCAATGCTGGTAGACACCAAGGAGAAGGTTCCCTCATCCCCATTGATTAGGCTTGCTCTCAGACCTGCCACCTCACAGGGAAAGCCTTGAGACAACTGCATACAAATTATTATTTTCCTAAGAATTACCTTTTATAGAAAGGAAAGATCCTGGACTGAACTGAAGCAAAGCTTCCAGCATTAGGACAGACAAACCTCACTTTAAATGACTGTGCCACGTGGCTGCAGCTTCCCCAGCCCCGCCAGCTGGAGTTCGCCCTGGGGATCCAGCCCGACTCCCACAGCCCAACAGCGCTCATCGCTCAAACAAGGCCATGAGCTGGATTCGCTGTGTGGGAGCTGAGAGATCTCTGGCTGTCACCTCTCAGCCTCCAACTGTTTTTAACTTGGGGATCTTCAACGAGTGCATCGAATGGATTTTTCCTTTCATGAGGCATTCCTTTAGACTGGCATTTTGAAGAGATGATAAATACTGGCTTGCTCTGCCTTTCTGTGTGGGTTCCATTTGCAACAGATCAAAACAATACCAGAAAAAGGAAATAAGCCAACCCAGGATATATGGTCCTTCCAGGCAGGCTGCTGTAATGTTCAAAATACCACAAGATTTTTGTTTGGTTGGTTGGGTTTTTTTTTTTAACACCTTTTGGAAAGATAATAACCTGCTTTTCCTTGATGTTTGAAAAGAATTAGGAAAAACCAAAGCACTGTTAGCACTGTTAGCATGCTTTGATAGAAATCTGCTTTTTTTTTTTACTCTCAGGAAAGTAATTAAGTGCTTAGAGCAGGACTGATCATAAAATCATGGAATGCTTTGGGTTAGAAGGGACCTTTAGAGGCCATCCAGC